GGATCTAGTCAAAGAAGCTTCGTCAGTATTTTTATATTTTGCCTAGTTTTAAAGTGACTTACGACCTGCTTAGATTTGGGTAGCATGGCAATACTACTAGCTATGACAAAAACAAAAGGCTTCAAGTCAAACATAAACATGTACTTTGAAAATGAGTTACATTATATCGCTTCAGGTAGGTTACTATTTTATGCAGCTATGTCAATCAGTCAGTTGCAACGTAGAACTTCGTATGTAAGTACATCAGTTCCGGTCGCCATACCACATTAGCACAGAGACGCAACTGTCAGTTCAAATCCCAACGTGGTCATGTAAAAGACTAGGGTTCGAAGATATTATTCAAGAAGTCTAATTCAATGATATATATTTAAAAAGAGAAAGATAGGGGTGATGAGGAATTCAAAAGATTAGAATTTCATAGAACACAACGAGTGGATGCACCTGCAACGTTGTAAACGATTTTGATCCATGTCATTCAATGTTTCTAACCATCGGTTACTATCGTCTCGCAGACCTCAACTAGTTAGTCTACACTTACCAACATGACTCAGTTCACTTGTTAGTGACTTCATGTATTTGTTTCATGTTTTGGTCTGGCTGCCCCTAGTTTTCGAGCATCCATCAGTTCAGTAGATGCTACTGAGATCCACGGCTTCTTCCTAGGCTTGTGGTTTACCTTGCTACCAGATATCACCGCCGTTTCCACAGCCTTTTTGATATCATTCCAACCTGCCTCCGGATGGGAATCATTTGCATGGTTGCCTAACTCTCTTTCTAGTTGCTTCTGAAATATATTCTTAGCTTTATTATCATTAAATGGAACCCTAAAAGCTTTCGCCGCGGTGTCTTTTCTACGTCCAGTAAGCCTCAAACAAATACGAGCCCGCACTAGGGCATGATCTAAATCTAAACATGTGCCCCAGAACGAGCGGCAGTCCTCTATCGAAACCCTCCATCGGTGACTGATGGCGATATGATCTATTTGGGTCCAATGTTGGAGCAACTTTAGAGGTCGCCAGGTCAAGAGATGCTTTTCCTTATGCCTACAGTTAGTTTGCTAGGAATAGGCGGTTATATGAGCATACTTGCAACAGACAGTCGCCATTGTCTCTTCTCTGAGCGGCGAAACCATAACATTCACCTAGGTGTCTTTCATTTTCACTTAGTCTACCTACTTGAGCACTAAAGTCACCAGCCATTATAACAATATCACAGCGCCTAGCTTTTTGGAGGAGGTCCGAAAGCTTTCTATAAAACTCATCTTTCACATCGTCTGAACTGCAGTCAGTGGGGGCATAGGCAGATATGACGAAGAGGAAACAGCGAGTGTCCCTATCCTTCCGAGTCTTTACTGTACAGTTCAGTCGGACAGCGTGCAAGCGACTATCTACTGGGATCCAGTCTAGGAGAGCTAGTTCTACCCCACGACTCAATACTATACCTACACTAGCGAGACCTCAGGAAGCAACATCATGACTTTCAGATACACGAAGAGTGGATCGAGTTGCTTCTTTATTCTGACAAGGTAAAATCAAAACATTGATTTTACTTGCTTGCTTCCAGGACGCAGCATCCTTCGATGGCACGAGATTCTAAAGTCCTAGCTAATGAAGCTTGTTGCCCTATTTGACACAATGTCTGTACATTAGAAGCTCCAACATGTAGTCTAGAGCGGGGTTCGAGGAGACCAGGAATAACTTTTCGTGAACTCGCATCGTTTGCATTAGCGGTGCAGAGAGATAAAGGAATGTGAGTAGAGTTAGTTGTGGAGAGAAGAGGTGTTAGGGGGTGTAGGAAGGATTTGATTTTGACCGATTCGGTCTCGCGTGCTGTCACGCGTATGAGGGTGGTTGTCACTCCCTGGCTGCCCACAAAGTGGAATGTTGTTTCTTGAGGGACCTGAAAAGGAAGATAGATTAGTGTTGGTCTCGGAGACCTGGTTGCATGAGCGCAGGCTTCAAGGGACAACTGCTTGAGGCCGGTGACGCACGGCCTTTTTATGAAACGTTTTTTGAGGATTAGCTCCGTTCTTTAGTGAGCACGCTTACCGCCGGAGACGGAAATCCGTGAGGTAGGGTGAGGTGTGACATTTTTAGGGTCGACCTTTTCTGATCCTTCCTTCCTTGTGAGAAGGCAGCATCGCTGCAGATGCTGGTTGTCCGAGGGAAACACCTTACTGCTGTCACACCGCTTTACAGTCAGCAGTACAACTTCGCCCTCAGACCATGAGTAGCTGCTTTTAGTCTCATCGTTCTCCAGTCGACCTGCCTGTCATGGTAGAACCTTCAGGAACATATGTTCCAGCCAATATAGCTCGGTTGGGTCATGAGATAGGCAAGCCCGACCACCACGCCAAGGTAGCAGCTACGGTCCGGTTGGTTATAAAACGGATATCTCGCATACGCCATAAGTGACACAGGTTGGCAAAAGCCAATTGAGCCTTCTGTATTCGTGCTGAAATTTCGTCAGTCAGCAGACCATCAGCGCTGATGAGACTACCGAGTTATGTGAAGCGGCCAGCACGCTCAACTACTTCACTCCCTATCACTAGTTCAGGTGCCGACGCAAGCTAATCTTGAAGCAACATTGCGCATTTCGACGGGGAGAATGGCATCCCGAAAACGCTGCATTGTTGCTTAGAGTAGTCAAAAGACTCTGCATTTTGTCAGCGTCCTCACCAAATAGAACTATGTCATCGGCAAATCCTAGGCATATGGTATAAGGTTCACTCCTCAAAAGTCTGATGAGGATAATGTTAACTCTAAAAGCATGTGTACGACAAAGTTAAACAAGAATGGAGAGAGTGGACAGCTCTGACGGACACCACGTGAAGTAAATAATTCCAATGACCATTCGCCATAAGCTCTCACCCGACTAGTGATGTTCCTGAACTACGCTGGGATTTCACCCGATAATTTCATCTCTCTAGGCTAGTGGGTTATGGCACCTAGAACTGATGTTCATAGGTACCTAGTTTTACGATGCACTCAAGTGATAAGTTGAAAAGTAAACTACATCACAGAAAAAATTAACAGCAAACACTATTCTCGTCCTTACGAGATATCCATGCTTTCCCAAAAGACGTTCGTTAGTTAACTTAAAGATCAAAACCGAGACACTTGTAATCGACAGTGAACGTTGTCATCAAATGTAACCTTACGAAGATGCTATATGTGGATATTCTACGTTCAATTCAAAACTAGCGAATTATCAAATCTCCTTATAAACAGGGAAAATATGAAGGTTACTTACGGAGTTAATTTGTCCTGTCACTTCCTTGATTTTTTCTTCTAGCATTTTTATGCGCTTACTTGCCTGTAAAGGGATAAAAATAATCATTAAAAAAAAGCAGAGAGAAGCTAGATGTGCAGCAACTCATGTCATGTATCACCAAACATTACAGTTATTTAAATGAAAAATGTAATGAAGTGGAGAACCAAAAAAATAATGAGCGAAATCATGGGAGTACTGGAATTATTGTAATTAAGATTATACAGATAGGTTAATATTCTTGTCACAGACTCGCCTCGATTTACCTAGAAGAAATTTCTGACTGTTAAAATTGATAGGCCAAAGTAATGAAATAATGTGACTAAATGACAGCTACTCACAAAACTGTATTATTAACTTAGAACCCCCCAAATTATTAGGAATCAAAGACAAGAATTTCAGCCAGATGAATAATTTTATTTAAAATAACAGACTACGGACAGAAAACAAATATGATAAACTGTCATAAGCGATTGGAGAGTATAAGTTAATCATCCTGTTGTCAATTAAGACCTGACTGTTGGGACAGCTCGTTGAGCACAGTAACAATTATACGAAGAATAGACAACTTGAATCTCAACGCAAATAACGGAAATGAAAATACTGCATAAAAACTCAGGATCAGTACTCAAACTACTTAACACATTTCAAAACTTGTTGAATGCACTTACTAGAAACTCAAGAATGCGTAACAAAATGGGGATTAAATAATTCATTTCAGTTTACATGAACAACGATCTTAGTTTTGGAAGTAATAGAAAAAAGCAAGTTAGGAATGGGATTTGTTCACAGTACTTGAAACGCAACAGAACTATCAACATTAAAGTTGCACAGCGAGAAGTTGCGTTCATTCATATATTCAGTTTAAGTTATTCGGAAACTATCAATCTAGTCTCATTATTTCTAAGATGGATCTTATATAGGGGGAAGGTGATCAGTCGAACTTAAAAACTAATGTGTACTGCATTTGAGCAATACAAAGTGCAAATCTCTATACACAACACGAATAAAAATGTATAACGAACCTCATCTCCTTGAGTCTCAATGCGACGGAGCCTGTTTCCATGCAAATTAACTTCATCCTTCAACTCTTTAATGGTCCTTAAAGTGAGTTATAATTCGAAAATGTATTACTTGGAGAGAGACTCTTCTTTTTTGTCATATTTTTCCGAAATCTCTAACTTTTCTTGAAGTTGCTTAACGGTCTAAGGAATTCAGTATAACTGACTATAATAACCTCATCATAAAGTTGAGCAGAAGATTTTGCAAGATTTTGTGCTTCCCTAACTTCATCTTCAAGCAACTGAATTGATTCTTCTTGACTTTCTAATCGTTTTTCTAAAGATTCATGCGCTCTGGAAAAAAATAATTTAAATGATTGCTTTACTTTTGGCACTCAGCAGCTGATTTTTGAAGCTCACACAGACGCTCAGTATTGACTCTAATAGCTTCTCGATGCTGCTCACTTTTCTGTTCTAAACTATCGATAAACCTATGTTTGTCTTTAATTTCTGAATCGAGCTAAACTAGTAAATATTAATCCAAACCTAATACCTTTTTAACAATATTTTTCTGAGACTCGTTTTCCTTACGCTTAGCCTCCAATTCATGTGATAATTTTGCAATGTTATCATGCAGGTCTGATAGCTTCGCACTTATTATACCGACCGAGACCATGTTTCGATGGGTATCAATTAGGCGCTTTTATAATTAGCAACCCTTCGATAGCCAATATCTTCATAATGAGCTTCAAGAATCTACACCAATATCCAATATCTTTGCACAAGCCAATATAAACCTACTGATTTATTTGCGCTCGATTCTTATTCTTTCGTTACGGTTCCACGATTTTAGTATTGTTCAATGGATGGGGGTTAGCCACTCTACTCTCTAATTCTAGTCAGTTGGCAGTTCTTTGTGAGTTTGTGACTATTTGTGTTCCAGGGGAGTAGTGTTTCTGGATACAAGCAGCTATCGTGTTACCAGGCCGGTGATAAATGGATAATTTAGTTTATCGATTGGTACTGAAGATTGTACGAGGGGACCGAAGTGCAGGCGAGGGAGAGGAAACACTATTTTTCTTCGCTAGTATTACCTGCGAAAATTGCCCTTTCAGCTATCACCAGATTTGAAAAATACCTTGTAGGGATGTTGATGTCGAACACTTAAGTTAAAAAGACGTCAGTTGATGACTAAGTAAACATACCGGATGAATTTATACTTCATGACTGAACTTAATACTAGGCAGGACACTACTAGTCCACAAATGAGCGTGAAGTATACAAAGTTTCCTCCCTGAAAAACCATTTCACTGTTATTTCAAATGGTTCAGATGGTTTTCAACAGAGTGGACAAAGCTTTCTCTATGCCTGAGTTCATGTTTAGTAGAAGCGAATTCCTGATACTTCCAAGTGGTGAAGTGGATGTCTGAAAGGAACGGAGGTAGGGTATTATTAAGTCATTGAGTCCCAATAAATATGTATTAGGTTCTCTCGTGAATTACCACAGTAAAGTCGCTTAAACCACCTCACTTGCTAGTTATTTCCGACACTTGACTACCGTTAAGAAGTAGAAGGTGAGGCCACGATTCTTCTGAGAGTGTAGAACATCTAATTACCAAATATCCATTCTGAGATATTCACCGGAATTATACATCATTGTTCCAGAAGATACCCGAGAATATTTAGATCACTGAGTAATTATCTAAGTCCTTTATATTCTAGAGGGAAAAGATTCTTCGGCTGAATGAGCTGTTTGAAATTACACATCTCATTCTTCATCATTGTTGCAGACAATCCAGAACTCCCATGTAGTGGAATACCTTTACGAAGATAACACAAATGTTGAAATATAAACATTTATAATTGTACTTCATTATGACAACAATTGTTATATTGTACCCCTTTTGTTCATCTGCACTAAAGGCTATCTCTCGAACGCCAAGCATGTTATTCTCACTCCGTTCTTCTGGATATTATTTCAATATCACAAAGCTAGCAATAAATATACTTCACCTAGAATAGTGTTTTCTCTGACTTCTGGATTATCGCGATTTACATTAGTAATCCAGCGAAGTAATATATTTATTTCAACTTACTATACCCTAAAGAAGCCTATCAGAAGATCTGTTTCCATACCGTGAGGAACAGGCAGACTTTATTAGTAAGTATTCAAAAAATCGAAGATAATTGTGCATTTTGCAGTCTCAAACCTTTAAGACAAGAGATCTTTCGAGAAACTCCACAGATTGTAAGCATTAACGGCGGCTTTAGCCAGCGGATACATTACCCATGTGATGATGAGAGTCCACTAACTCGCAGATACTGACCCAGAAATAAGCTTCCCACCTGAGAAAACAGACGATCATCTAAAAGATACAATCTTAGTTTTGAGAGTGATAAACATTCAGCCAATAGCCACTAAAGTTACATGGTATGTTCAATCAATGCTTGTTCACTCAAATCCATTTACTAGATTTTGATTGTTGTGGATGCACAAGTGTCCATCACTGGCATAAACTTGTTACACCACCACAGACTACTCATCAACTCAAACTAATAATAATAATTTATTCTCAAATAACAAACATGTCACAAGGGATATGCCAATTCACACGCAAGATCAAAATGTTAAGATTAGCAACATATTCCTTTTAAAACGCTATACGGTTACTGAAACATTTCACGAGATTGATTGGATTCCTATAGATGGAATGTACAATGTGAATACCTGGCGCGAGTTACGAAGGTTGCGTTACGACTACCATCTTATTGACTGCGAAACGATTCATGGTAGAGACAGGTTTGTATATAACAAGAATCGATGCGGTAAGTGTACATAGGTCTGGTCGATATTTATCACATGTTCCTGAGTAGGGTCACCAAGTCTACGGCAAACATCCAGACTAATAAATGAGGATTGAAATAAGGTGCCGAAAGTAGAGGAATAAAGAAAGCGGGCGAGGAGCGGAACAGAATATATTCTTGTTCAAAGCCGAACAACGGCTTCGCACAAACATTATTAAAAAAAAAACAAAGGTATGTTTACTCAGAATCTTTTTAATATCAGAACACTAACTGTACACATGCACTTATGTAGGTAAATAAAGACAATTCGGTAGTGAGATAACTAATTGGAAGTTAGTCGTAGGAATAAAGGAAATCCAGATGAATCAAGTTTTTAGTAATAATATTGATTTACGAAATATAATAAGGAGGCCCAGCGATCTTATGTTTTTTCTTATTTTATTTATTCTTTTTATTGTTAACTTTGCGGCTCAAGAAGTTAT